TCGTATCCTCAGTCTATAAGATCTATCGAACCACGAGCACCACCCTTTAGCTGGTTGAAGATGATGCACCTCACCTTGAGCCTCATTTGTCTCCTCTTCGCAAACCACCTCAATTGTTCCCTACTAGGTAAAAGATTCAACTCCGCTCGTCAGGCAACTGAAGGCTATGTACCAAATCCATAACATTTGAAGCATTCTCTGGCGGGGACTGTAATAGTGTGCTACTCTTCTCAGACTTCTTCTCACTCGAAGTGGCTTTGATCTTATCCAAACAAATTTTCTCGACTCACTGAGCTGTGTTCCTGTCGGTGTTTTTGACTGTGGGTGATTGCCTAACTAGTAGTGGTTGTCTGCTCTGCTTCTGCCACCACTCCATCTTTAAGGCTAAGGTATGGACATTTCATATTGACAAATAAGGTTGTAATTGTGCAACACTGCCAATAGCGGGCTTCAGGACCCCATATATCGGGTGATCATCTGTTCCTCTAGCTTGACTAGCTCACACTTAATCGTAGTTGATCAAGCTCCCTTGTGCATTCCTCCACTATTCAGATCTTGTTGTTTTAAGTGATTGAGCCTTAGAAACATGTATTGCCGGTAATAAGGTGGTAAATATTTCCTCAGCGGGTCTTTCCTCATCTTCTCCCATTTGGAAATTTTATCACAACATTCTCTTTTCCTTTGCCTCTGCAGGTTCTCACACCACAAGGAGGCACTCTTTTTCAACTTGATGGCAACCAACTTTCCCTGCTTATCCTATGGCACATCCTTATATTTGAATCTCTCCATTGATTGTAGCTAGCCGACAAAATCATCCGGATACATGCCTCTATCAAAATCTGGCAGATCCACTCTGATGTCGAAGTCCTTGTGACGATCATATTCGAGCTCCTCCCTCGATTTTCTCTGATAATGAACCTCAGATATCGGGTGATCATATCTGTTCCTCTAGCTCGACTAGCTCACACTTAATTGTAGTTGATCAAGCTCCCTTGTGAATTCCTCCACTATTCAGATCTTGTTGTTTTAAGTGATTGAGCCTTAGAAACATGTATTGCTGGTAATAAGGTGGTAAATATTTCCTCAGCGGGTCTTTCCTCATCTTCTCCCATTTGGAAATTTTATCACAACATTCTCTTTTCCTTTGCCTCTGCAGGTTCTCACACCACAAGGAGGCACTCTTTTTCAACTTGATGGCAACCAACTTTCCCTGCTTATCCTATGGCACATCCTTATATTTGAATCTCTCCATTGATTGTAGCTAGCCGACAAAATCATCTGGATACATGCCTCCATCAAAATCTGGCAGATCCACTCTGATGTCGAAGTCCTTGTGGCGATCATATTCGAGCTCCTCCCTCGATTTTCTCTGATAATGAATTTCGAAGCTGCATGGTTGGTATTCCTCGTTGTTGATGTCTTCCCTGTGGAATGGATTCAGATCTTTGTCCTTGTCTCCCCCCCCCCCCCCCCCCCCCCCCCCCCCTAACATGTATTGCTGGTAATAAGGTGGTAAATATTTCCTCAACAGTTCTTTCCTCATCTTCTCCCATTTGGAAATTTTAACACAACATCCTCTTTTCTTTTGCCTCTGCAAGTTCTCCCACCACAAGGAGACACTCTTTTTCAACTTGATGGCAACCAACTTTACCTGCTTATCCTATGGCACATCCTTATATTTGAATCTCTCCATTGATTGTAGCTAGCCGACAAAATCATCCGGATACATGCCTCTATCAAAATCTGGCAGATCCACTCTGATGTCGAAGTCCTTGTGACGATCATATTCGAGCTCCTCCCTCGATTTTCTCTGATAATGAATTTCGAAGCTGCATGGTTGGTATTCCTCGTTGTTGATGTCTTCCCTGTGGAATGGATTCAGATCTTTGTCCTTGTCTCCCCCCCCCCCCCCCCCCCCCCTCTCTCAATCGCGGTTAAGGATAATCTACCCTTGGGTCCCATCATTCAATTTCACCAGTCTCTGTTACAGGCGACGAATATTTCGTTGTATCTCGTCCCGAGTCGAGCCTGACATGTATCACTGTGGAGGTATGATTTCGGTTTGGTTTAGAAGAAGTTTTGAAGGTAGGAAAGCAAATAAAAAAACAGAGTAAAGAAGAAAGAAAAGAGAAGAAAGAAAAGAAGAAGAAAAAAATTCTTGGTGACATGGGTACCAGTCTCTGTTACAAGCGACGAATATTTCGTTGTATCTTGTCCCGAATAGAGTCTGACATGTATCTCTGTAGCGGTATGATTTAAGTTTGGTTTAGAAGTTCGGGTCTGTTTGGGGCAGCTGCAGCTTATTGAATAATCTACTGATAAGCTGATTAAAAATAATCTGTTGATAAGCTAAGCAGCTGCAGCTTTTTGGAAAAGTCAGACTTCTTTCAGAAAGTTGTCATCGCACATAGATAAGTGTGGTGTAAAAACGTTATTTTGGGCGTTTTGAAAACTCATAAACTGTCAAAACGCAGTTTACTCAAACAGGCCAAATGCGTTTTCAAAACGCCACCGCACCAAATAAGCTACCCCAAACGGACCCGAAGTTTTGAAGGTAGAAAAGCAAATAAAGAAATAAGAGTAAAGAAGAAAGAAAAGAAGGAAAAAAAATTCTTGGTGACATGGGTAGGGAGGATGTTAAAGAATCTTATGATAGAACTAGAATTTTGCTAGCTCTGATTTTTAATGATACCGGAGTCAACCCACACCACGACCGAACGATGAAACATTTTATTATTGAATTCAAAAATTGCAACGTCTCTCAACATAAAACAACGCCATGTAAACTATTAATAGACAATGACGACTCCTCAAACAAGAATAAAAATAGCCCTAAATAATAAATAAAATGGTAGAAAACACATTAACGGCTGATTCAAGTAGAGGACAACAGGTTCGAGTAGAAAAGAAGGGGGTGTGGTAGTGCCAGAGGAAACTAGAATGGTGTTGAGATGCTAGCTGGGTGCCCGGAGCAGCTGTCGACGACATTGGAGGGGTGCAGAAATAATGGCGACTCACTAGGAGAGGCTGAAGGCAGGTGGTGGTAGCGCTAGGAGTTGTGAGCTGCAGAAACATCTTGGAAGGCTGTTGGAAATAGATTCGACGAGGCTGAAGTGAGCAGAGAGCAGTGGTGGCCTGCTGGAAGGGTACTGGAAGCAAATCCGGGGATGCTAGAGTGATCAGAAGTCTGGCAACCTGGAGTGGTGTTGGAGAGGAGACGGCCTGCTGGAAGGGAGCAGGGAAGTCTGGTGGGAACCTGGGAGAGGCTAAAGTTGGTGCGACCTATTGAAAGGGAGCAATGAAAGTCTTGCGACAATGTGGGAGAGAGAGCAAGACGTCTGGACCACAATTGGGAAGGTCGGTCGGTCGGTCAGCTGGTCGGCAAATGGAAACAAGGATAGTAAGTAAGCAGTAAGAGGGCATGTGCAACAGCTGGAAGATGGGTCAGAGGATTGAGGAGGGGACTTGCAAGGATAAATATCTAGGTGGAGTCAAGCTATAGCTGTAGCACCACCACAACCCTTGAAGACTGTCACCACCTTGAACGAGTTGCAACCGGAGCACTTTTTCGCCATCGATACAACCCTATGAAGGGAAGAACACCTCAAATGAAGCAAATTGAAATCTGGAATAATCAAAAACTAGTTAACCCTAGGCAAACACAACATATGTATAATGGATCCTAACAATAAGAATAGGAAGGGATTGAAAATTGGAAAGGAATAGAACCAGCATGTGTTAGATAAGACAGGCAATGGAATAGGAAGAACTCTCTATGAAAAGAAGTGGAATAGAAAAGGAGAGGGGGAAGGGGCAATAACTCCCTCCCCTTAGAGGGTTGAACGGTTCAACACTTGGTCGGTCCAGCGCTTGGACGATTCAGCCGACTCCCGGCAAGCCCCACATCAATTATCTTGTTAAAAAATAGCCTATATCATTCCAACATTTCAATTATTTTAGAAAACGTCTCAATAATCGAAATTGCAAGACATGTAGAAAGCATAAATCAAGGTATGTCACTATGTATAACTGTATCAAAAAAAAATTTACAAATGAAGATGGAATACCATTTCTAACATTTATGAAAATACCTTGTAATGAAAAACATTTTGTTTGCTCTACAGTTATAGACAATCACATAACAATCAATTCATTTTTCACATTTTTGTCCCTAATGACCCTTATAAATAAATGCACAAAGATTTGTTCACATTCATTTTCAACATCAATAAAAATCTAAAGGCAATCATTAATACCCCTACATACTATTCCAATAATTGTCTTAGAAGATTGAATAAACATATACAAAAATTTAATTATAAAACGATAACTTATGCAACCTTAAAAAGCATTGATATGTTTGAGAGTTCGCCAATAACAAGTAAATTCCCTAAAGTAAGAAGTTGCAATGACATATGAAACAACATTGTATAGATCGCCATCAAAGTTAAAAGCATCAAAACTTGAATAAACATCCCTACTAGTTAACATGTATAAATTATGTCAAAATTAAACTTCACATGAACAATTGGCTTAAAAAATTGTAGAAAATATAGATCCAGGTTAGAGTAAACATCTTATGCATTTACATATATACCACACAAATCATATGTATTTAAATATCTAACCCCTAAACTTTCATATTTATATTTATAACACTAAAATCTATAATATCACATCAAACATACCATAGTTACTTTCAAGTGAAATACTCCTTTTTTAATGTATAGGATTATGAAACCAAAATATTATAAATGTAACTAAAAATGTTTAGGTGTTAATATATAAATACATAAAAAATGTGGTGGTATGTATGTAAATTTCCCAACAATATAATATATCATAATGTGTATTTAAACTTTGAGGTTTGCACAAAAACATGCAAAACGGAAAGCTAGTTATAGAATAATGAAGTATATTTACCTGTTAACGGTTAAGCATGCAGTACTAAAGATATAAAAGCAGATAATCAAGAATTGACCAAGAGAAAAGCTAATCACCAGTGAACAAACAGTTTTTAGGCTCCATGCGGACTTGAGCCCTTCCCTTCCCCTTTCAGTTTGGGATGCCTGTGTGACTCGTTACAGCAAACCTGCAGACGGCCATTAAAACCACCAAGATACTGGTTCTCGGAGGAGGCTCCCTCTGCATCTGCAATTGGAATAGAAGCACCAAGGAAGAAAGGCAAGTTTGCACCTTCAACAAGATGGTGGTGATGAGGTGAATTGGACTGAAGGGTCCCCCTATTAAATCCAGTAGAAACAGAAGAAATGGAGACGTTAAGGTCATAATCTACCCCGGGCGCCATTGCTGCAACAGGAATTACGTGATCCTGCATTAAAGAATAATGCTGCATATCCTGATGGTCTCCCGCAACAGCAGCGTTGTAAGCCAACATCCCCATTCCCATGTGAGGGTTGTTTCCTGTATGCAGCATCGAAGAATATCCTGGCATCAATTGAGGAATTTTGTGCACCTGCCCAAAGATCCCAGCTTGGCCAAAATAATCTGCTGTAGAAGCGGCTAATTGTGGCCTCAGCTGCTTCTGGCCAAAACCGGTGCCGCAATCCGCCATTTCAGTGGTCGATCCTGCGGTAAGCAGCTCTGTGAAAGAGCTGTGCGTTATCAGATTCGGATGCTGATGGGCTGTAGCATCCTGTTCGTTCTTCTTCTCTTTTGCCGTATTTTCCCTGGCGAGCCCCCCCACCTGGCACCTCGAAAGTGACAGTGTCGACCCCTTACTAGTCTCCGACGCGCTACTGCATGTTGACTTGGACTGCGAGATCTGCTGCTCAGCTGCCGCTGCTCTATCTGGTAGATTTGCTCGACTGGGAAGAACAATATCAGGTGGCAGAGGCAATTCGCCATCAAGTTCAGGAAGATCAGCGATGGCAGCGTCAGCAGCCTTGATGAGCCAGTCCACGGCTTTGCTTGGCTGGTCATAACCAAGGCGGTCTTGTAGGTCGTAGAAATCTATGGCAGTAGAAAATGACAGACGAAAACGACGGTCTCGCAGACCCTTCGTCGTCCACACCTTCCTATGTCGGTCCTTTCCGCCGGAGACGCGAGAAACCCTAATAATCCTAGATGAAGTGTTCCGCCATGGCTGCCATGGCCGTAAGCCGCCGATGCCCTTCACATCTCCGTTTTCCTCGTCCTTATCCCTCCTGAGCCGCTTGCTCGAGTGGATCCCCTCCGGCTCCATCGCTCTCTCATGCCCCTCACTGCTCCCGGGATAAAGGATTTACACTCAAATTCGCCTCTTGTCCTCTGACAGAACAACTCTGCCTTTGCCTTTTAGCTTTTCACTTTCTTCTGCATCTTTATATGGAAAAGTAAGGCAAGGCGTTTAGGGTTTCAACTTTCACCGTGTCCTATTTCATTGATGTGGAATGCGAAGTAAGGTGAGAAAAAGAGATGCTCGTTTGACGCTGGATATGGGGTTGTGCAGAGGTGTCAGCTAGCAGCTGCTTTTACCAGCGTTATCATCCTACCCCTGCCTGGATGGCTGAGCCTCGCGCTGCTCGCTACCAGCGCACAGCGCTCCGCAGCTCCTGCTCCACTAAGCTGCTCAATGTACTGCCCAACTGATAAAAATTTATGTTATATAATAATACAGGCGATATTTTCGAGAGCAAAATACGGCAAATATCGTACAGCCAACTTTAGCAGTAGTCTTGAGATGAGTTGCAAAACTGGTTTTACAGCGTTTCGTTGCTGAGAAAAAGGTAACCCTACATGGCTCTCAGATCTGTTAAGTAGGGACCGATAGGCCAGCCTACAATTGTTCTTCTTCTTCTAGAATACAAAAACAAAGCAGCTAGCAATATAGGAATCAGAAACTGCGCCCTCGATCAACTTCTCTCGCTTAATTATCTCCAAATGTTGGCCTAATACCGCGCAGATCGAGCTAGCTAGCATCGAACCGCCATTAATGGAGCTAAACTTCTCCAACGAGATCGAAGCTGCACTTTTAGCTGAAAACAATTGCATCCAAAAAACGAAGATAATTTAAGTGGAAAATCGCTGATCGAAGAATAGGAATTATGAAATATACTTTCGAAATTAAAAACCATAGGGAAGGAAGTAAGTGGAGGAGCTCGGGATCCGATCATTACAGGCTCCGTTTCCGCCAACCACCACCGCGTCGCAGCAGTCGCCGCCGTGCTTTATAGGCTAAGAAACAATAACACGAATGCCCACAACATTTATAAAATTTTCAAATCTGCCATCAAGTCGCGACAATAGTAAAGCTGGTCTCGACTACCCTACACCGACGATTTTTTTTTTATTCTAGACAGATAATTACATAAATGCCACTTCCAGCATTGTTTGTCCTATAATGGTTTTGTGCTGGTGGGCTATGAGAATTGACAGTTCGTCGATCGGTGCCACGTGGTAAAGGTCTGGATGTCTCTTGCGTTGCAAGAAGTGATTAGTGGAAATATATGTCTGCTGTTTGACAGATTCAGCAGATAGTATCCGGCTTGTTCTATTGGGGTGGTATGGTATGGGGACGTGAACCGGCAGCGACGGTTAGGGCTGTCAAAAAAGCTCGTTGTTCGCGAACAGTTCGTGTTTGGTTCGTCAACGAGTTTGTGTTCGATTCGTTCGATAAGTAAACGAGACAAACACGAACAAATTTTTTTCGTTCGGTTAGTTAAACGAACCAAACACGAACAGTGATGCGTTCGTTCGTGTTCGAATCGTTATTGTTTGAAATATAAAATAATATAAAATAATTATATATAAAAAATTTATTATATTTTAAAACATTAAATTTTATAAATTATAATATATAATAAAATAATAATAATAATAATATTAATATACTATAGTAGTAATATACTAATATAGATATTGTATATTTATATAATATAAGTTATATAATTAATATATAATATTATTTTTATATATTAATATTAGAGATGTCAAATTGGCTCGTCGTTCGCGACTAGCGACGGTAGACAACCGTTGGAAAAGTCGTTCCTAGTTTCTTATTATTTATAAAATAATCACTTTTTCTATATTTTTTTTAATTAAGGCTTAGTTCGAGCTGAAAAAAGTGTGTTCGTGTTCGGCTCGTTTGCTTAGCAAGTCAAACACGAGTCATTCACGAACAAATAGTCATTTTAAAAACTCTAATCACGTAGTCATAATAGGTTAAGGATTGGGGCAAGATTTAAAACATCATTTAAATCTGATTTAATAATTTTTATTCTATTTTATTCATTAATACTTTTAATTGATTATAAATCTTTGTAGCCTTGTAGTCAATTAAATTTCTAAAAATATTACTCATCAAATATATATAAATAATTAATTAGTAGTATTTCGAGCTAAAATGAGCCGAACACGAATGAACAAATATTTTGAACAAATATTTGTTTGTGTTGTTCGTGTTCGGCTCGTTAACTCAGCGAACGAGTCGAACGCTAGCTTCTTAACTAGCCAAACACGAGCTGTTCTCGAACAAAGAGCCATTTTGACAGCTCTATTAGGATTGAGGCCCCTTTTAACTTTTTATATATCATATAAGGACAAATTCTTGAAATGGACTAGTTTCAAAGCTCAATTATTTAATACCGCGTGGTATTTAATTTTTTTTTTTAAGGAGGAAGGAATTCATTTTGAGTACTTTTTTTGTTATATTTTACATGATTGGGCAGCTCCAATCATTCTTTTTTATTTTTTTAATGAACTTTTGGGGGCTCTTTTTCTTTCATATCTTCCTCATTTTGATTTATTTAATAAAAACAATCAATTTAATTTTTAAAATCAATTCTAAAAGAGAATTTAATTTTTAAATTATGAATTATTATTTTTAAATATATATTATATCGATTTAATCTAAGTTTGGATGTTTTTAAATTTAATTTTAATTAAAATATATATTGGTTTATTTTATGTTAAATTTGTATTAAATAATTTGACTGACTACCTAACTAGTTTAGATGAGTTCAATTTTGACTTATTAGCACTATGAGTGTAACTCAAGAGCTTTTCATCAAGTTGTCATTTGTGTTTTGTTGATTGTTTTGGGGTGTGTTTGTGTATTATAATACACTTTATTTTCTTATAAATAAAGTTTCTTCAATATAGTTCATACTATTTAGAAAAAAAATCATGCAATATATATCACTCCTAATAAAATATATATTATACATATTATTTAAATTCTAATATAATACAAGTTTAAAAAAAATTACTTATGTTTTCGTATACATCATCATGGTCTAACGTCAATTTCTGTTGTATAATGATTAGGAACTCAAAGTGACCACTCTCTCAAATGATGTTCGTATACTACCTCATCAGCAACATTTTCTACATCACGTGGTGTGGCTATTTGACTAGATTGTGTAAATATATGTGGTCGTTGTTGTAGTGATGAAGTTGACATGTAATAAGTTATTGGATATTGTGGTGGCATGGGTATTGAATTCGATGTCATCATACACGGAGTTTATAGGAAGAAGTATGTCAGTGATTGTGCTTGCATAGAGCATCCAAGTTGTTCCCCATCATGATAGATTAAACAAAGGCTAATATGTATATGAAGCAAAACTACTTGAGTATTCAAAACCCTATTATAATAATGTACCTGACTAACTGGATATTTCACATGATGCTTGATTTATGCGAGTAGATGGACCTAAGTTTTAAGGGATAAGAAGATGTTGGTGCACAGGCATCATATTATTTATCTTGACCTCCACACCAATCATTAGGACATGCATGTTCCGACTGATGGCATTCAATTTGATTTATTGCATGTTGGATAAGGTTATCTTCAACTTTTCCAATGAATGACTGAGATGCCTCTTTGGTTCTAAAAAGTAACGATATTGCGAAAATTTAAAAAATCATTAATATGAACATAAAATCTGATCATAAAAATTTGAAAATTTTATAATAAATGAGATTAAAATATAAAAGAAACCAACATTCTTTCCTCATGTGCTATAAGACAATAATAATGGGTTGGTCCGTTGATGCATTTAGTAAGTATAACGATGCTCAAAACTTATACCAATCCAAATATTATTTAAGCCAATTTTTATCTTCATCAATATAATCGCATGTAATAACAAATGCATGTATGTTATCCCATGATTGAATGTAAGAGTGATGAAAGTCAACTTAGAATACACTCTATTTTTCTCAACCATCCACCGTTCTACATCCAGGCACCATCGACTCCATGCCTATGCTATGTAACTCCAAACTATCTCATTACACAGCCTAATAAATGTCACTCAACTCGTAATCAATTGACGAGCGATACACAAGACTGTCAAATCGCACACTCTAGATACATATGATTAACAACTTGAAGCATTTTATGAATATTATTGGGCTCCCAAATCACCTATGTATAATTTTTTTTTAAAAGTTTAGCAGTATAATAAATTACATTATTTGTGGAAATGTTCAACAATGAGGATGATACTAACTTAATGTTTCATTATCAACTCTACAGATCCTAACAGCATTTGACTGCATTTGTCTTAGTTGATTCTCGCGCCATCTAATATGATTAGTCAACATGTAATAAATTATACCAATTATAATAAAGAAATTATTAAAACTTGCTTTGGTACCTATAGCCTAAACACCTCCCCTGAAGCTCTTTGGGGACACAGTCTCCGCATATATTTAAGACATGCACACAAACCTGGCTTGGTGGCCTCTACAGATGTAAACAAGCCAAACTTTAGCGAGCCTGCAGCCAAACTTTAGGGAGCCATGGTCCAAATTTAATCAACTCGTGTTTATAAAATTTTTAGTCTGCTCAAATTGAGTTCAAATTAGCCCAAATTAGCTTGAAAAATATGAGCTGTAGTTACCGCGAGGCATAACACCATGGCCTATGGCCTATGGGCATGCCCAAATCGGGACTGAGAGTGTTTCAGCTCTTTTAAAGAGTGATGGGTGAAGCCAATTTTGGAACGATCTGATGTGGGGCTATATTGCGTGAGGCGGTATTTTATTTAATTTTAGTATTTAGTTTCTGAAGGCATTTACAGCTAAAACGAGCCGAATGAAATTTAATTTTTATAAATCTTAAAGGCATTTCCAAACCTAAATGAAGAAAATATACCATGGAAAGCCGGATTTGGAGGAACTCTACGAACATTTACGTACATACCATCCAATTCTTATGTATTTACATATTAATTTTTTGTTAAGATTTACAAAAATTGAATTTTTGAATTTATTTCAAAGATACCATTATTTAATTTTTTATTTATTTTGAGCCAAAAAAGAGCCGAACACTAACAAACAACTCATTTTATTTGTGTCTGGCTCATTTATAAATCGAGCTAAAAAATTTGTCTGTGTTTAGTTCGTTTGTTTAACGAACGAATCAAACACATGCTACTTTGTGAACTGAACACAAGTTGTTTGCAAACGAGAAACTTTTTTGACAGCCCTAGCAGCCTCTCATAACTCTTAGCATAAATGTGTTAAAATTGCCCTCCTGAGTACTTTAAAACCAAACTAAATCATCCACAAAAGATAAATGTTATAGATGAATCTTAAATTGTCTTGAATGAATAAAATATATACCCGAATATGTCATTCAAACTAAGTATCAATCTGATCAATGTAAGAATCAGAATAAAATATGCACTGAAGCAAAAAAGAAAATAAAAAAAAATAAAAAAAAATAAAAAAGGGATAAGTGTGTTTGAGCATGTGGTTATCCCATCGAAAAATTCAATGTCAGCTTTGCCATATTAAGATAGTGGTGTAAAACTCTGGTCTCATGATAAGAACTAAATATATCGTGATCCTTAGGGGTGTAAACAAACTGAACACAAACGAACAGAACGTGTGCTTGTGCTCGGTTCGTTTGAAATTAATCGTGTTTGAATATGTTCGTTCAATTTGTTTCCCGTGTTCGGTTTGATTTGTTTGAAATAAGTTTGAATTGTTCAAAATGTTTGAATTTTTTGAATTATATCAATGGTTTGAATTGTTTGAATTGTTCGAATTATTCGAATTGTTTGATTTGTTTGAAATGTTCGAATTATTCGAAAATATTAAAATTTGTTTACATTATTTAAAATATGATAAATTTTTAGAATATATAAATATTTTTATTTTTTATACGTAACTATTTTAAATTATTTTATATTTC